ATTCCAAATACTAGTAATTTGGGATTTTGGCGTCCCAAATCCCAAATGATTTGGGATTTGGGCAACACGTATAATAACTGGATACTTTTTTTACTTCCATATATAGAATAGATTCTGCATAAATCTCAAAAAGTCGAAATACCTCAAAAATCTAAAATCAATTTTAGAAATATGTATAAAACACATATCATTTTATAGTAAAGAACAAGGCTTTTTTTCTATTTCAGAAATATTTTAGTAGAAATTTACTCTATATTTCATGAATTGTGAACAAAGTCAAAAAAAAATAAAAAAAATATTCAAAATTTTTACCTGTTAAAATTTTATTTTCTAATAAAGTCCTTAATATTATGGATTTTTTCAAATTGAATTAGGCATTGTTGAGATCTTCATTTCAAAATATTTTTTTATCAATAGGTGGTACAAATAGAAATTCTGATTTTAGCTGATTCATAATATAAAATAAAATAAAAGAGTTAATTTTAGCTAGTTTATGATATAGGAATTACCATTTGGTACATTGATTTTTTTGTATTTAACTAGTGAATATAAAGCTTTACTTATTCATATACAGAAAACAAAATTGAAAATTTTTTATAACTGATAATGCAAGTTCAATGATAAAAACAATAAGGTAACTAGGAACAACAAACTTGTGTTGTGTTACACATATACCTATTATCCAAATTTCAAATAATTTGAATTTGGAATTTTGAAATGTTGAAATTTTATATTCATAGTATTTAAAATTTGAAATTTTAATAATATGAAATTTAAGATTTGGGATTTGGGATTTGGGATTTGGGATTTGGAATTTGGGATTTGGGATTTGGATTTGGGATTTGGAATTTGAAATTTGAGATTTGAAATTTGGAATTTGAAATTTGAGATTTGAAATTTGGAATTTGAAATTTGGAATTTGAAATTTGGAATTTGGGATTTGGGATTTGGGATTTGGAATTTGGGATTTGAGATTTGAGATTTGGGATTTGGGATTTGGGATTTAGGATTTGGGATTTGGAATTTGAAATTTGGGATTTGAACATTTTGACATTTGGATTTTGAATTTGGGTAACAGGTATAGCTACTTATTCTATACATCTTGTTATTTCAGATAATTTATCAAAAAATAAAAACTTAATTGATATAGTAAAAACTTTAAATAATTTTTTGGTTAATTAGGATAAATATAAATATAATTTAGAAATATTCAAGCTAAATTAGCAAATGATAAAAAAGGATCAAATATTTTAGAACCTGTTTCTAGTGACAATGTAACTTATTAAAATTCTATATATTTTATTCTTAAAATACTTCTTGAACTTAGAGAAAAAATATTGTCAGAATATGATTGGCAAAAATTTTTAATCTTTTGCATTCCTTTGTCCAAACATCAATTTATATGAGTGGAAGTTATTATCTAACATTAAATATAATGCATTTGATTATACATTGTGTTTTTAAACATCTTAATCAAATAAAGAGCAATCTTACACATCTATCTGTTATTGATATATAAACATATCATAAGTCACTGGTAGCTCAGGATAGTTGGTAACAATTTTGGATCCTAGATTTAAATCTTTAACAATTGCATCATCTGCTATGAGAAATGCTGTAATACAAGAGCTATATAAAATTTATGCAATCAGAATTATTTAATAGTAATTCAATTGAAACAATAGTTACAACATTTAATAATATTTCTTCATTTTTTGATGATCAGAAAAATTTTAAATTCTTTTTCAAATATAGATACTGAATTACAAATTTATTTTTCTACTCCTCAAATTCCAAAAATATGATATTGGAGATCCTTTATGAAAAATACAATCCTTTAATTTGGTAAAATGAAAATCTATAAATATATTAAAAAATTTAATTAAAAACAAATCTGACATAAAATGAATCAGAACAATTTTAATAATATTAATGATCCATTATTTCAGTCTCCATTTTAACGATATTTTAAATAATATAAATAACTTGGTTTTAAAAACCAACTCACATTTAGTCTTGACTTGACTCACTACTTTTACCAGCTTGTAGAAATCATAAAAATAAAATTAATAAAATTTCTAGACCACAAAATGCTTGGATCATATTTAGAAAAGATTATGAAACAAATAAACGAATTCAATTTCCAGATCAATTATTTAAAATGAACAACAGTCACTATCAATCATCTCAAGAAATCTTTCTCGAAGGGTGTAACCCCTGCGGCACCACACGTGGGGTGAAAAACTTATACTGTCAATACTGTCAAAACTGTCAATACTGTCAAAACTGTCAAAACTGTCAAGATTCGATTGTCTTATTTCATATTTTCTGTAGCTTCCCAATGGATGAGAGCATCAAAAACAGAAGTATTCATCCTATTATAATTTGCGTGTCGTATAATATCATATACTTATTTTCCGCGTTCGCAATGGTTTTCCAAATATGTATCTACAATATTTCTGTCACAAGCAGAAAAAGGATTCAACTGCATTATATGCTTTGGTGGTAGTGGTGGCGCAAAAAACATTTTATTGTTTAATGAGATACCAATCATGAAAGAACATGAAAGAATTTGAAAGAATGAAATGGAGTAGGTAAAATCTTTTTAATCTTTCTAATCAAATATGTAAAGGACAAAATTGTGTATTAGATAAATCATCACAAATATCAAGTATTTAAATTTGCACAAAATTTTGTATATATCGAATAATATTACTGCGGATATTTACACGCAGCCACTTTTAGCTGATTGGTTTATTTGCAATCTTTATCAAAGAGACCTCTAAAAGCAAAAGTCAGCCTCCCTAAACAAAAATGACAACTCCAGAAAATGGTCATATTTCGGGAGTTCCTTTGAAACAAAATCAAGACCTTGCGAATGTGTTAAATGCCTTCGATGACATCGTTCAAACGGCGGGTAGTGGAGCGATCTTAGGTACTGACTGGCAATCCGTAAAGCGAAAAGAAATACGTAGAGGTCGAATAAATAATATTAAAACTACTGAACCCAAGGTTGTTCAGGAAACCACTCGAACTTACCGGGATCATATAGCTGGAAATTATGAAAAAGATAATAGGGAAATAGGTCGAAAGAATGATGATCCATGGGATAAAGGAAAGGAAGATGGTATACGGGATAAATATAGAACAAATGATGAAAATAAACCAAAAAATTGTAATATAACGTCCAATAATAATAATAATGTTTCGGATAATTCTAACATGGATAATAAAGGTTATACTGATTTAAATTCAAATACAGATATTAATAGGTTAAATAACACGAACAATAATAATAATAATAATAATAATAATAATAATAATAATAATAATAATAATAATAACGAAATAATTCCTAATGCATGGAATAATAATAATGAAATAAATAATGAGAGTTGTTTATCTACAAATTCTCAGCAAGATGTGAAGGATAATGTTGATAATGTTACTTTGAAAATAAGTGCATGGCGTTCTTTCGCTGATCCTAATGTAAAATTACGAGATGATGGTATCGGTACGGGTCAATTACATCGTGCAGGAAGAAATTACATTCCTGTTACTGAAGAAGATGTTCTTGCAATACAAAATAAAGGAAAAAATATGAGGAAAAGAGGGAATCGATTGCCAGAGAAAGCTTCTCAAAAAATCTCTGATAAAAATATCTTTACACCATTATCATATATTAATCAAAATCAACCGAATAGAACACAACAACATAATATTGATAATAATAATCAACAACAACAACACAATAATCAGCAAAGGCAGCAACAACAACATCAAAGTCAACAACCGCAATATCAACATCAACATCAACAAAAACATCAACAACAACAACACCATAACCAACAACGACAACATAATCAACAACAGCAACAACAGCAGCAACAACAACAGCAGCAACAACAGTCACAGATGCAATCACAACAATCGCAAGAAGTAGGGCGAGATTATTATAATGTTCAATCTCAACAATCTAATCCTCAAGATAAATGGAATACAACTCCAGCAAACGTTTCTTCCTGGGAATCATCTCAAAGGTCGCAAAGTACTACACCAAAACCTTTCGTAAATGAAGGAAACATAACTCAATCTTATCGCCATCCATCTCCTTCTCGCTCACCAAGACCAACAAAACCACAAGATTATCTACCTTTCATTCCACCAGAATTCGATTCTACTCCATATCGAAAACAACCATCTCCTTCACCTGCACGCAGTCCTTCAATTGGACATAATGAATATGATCGCGATAGTAATGGTGGTGGTGAAGATTATGGTGATCAAAGTAGTGAGGACACTGAATATTATGAAGGAGACAGTGATTATGAACACGATGAGGAATTTGATTTGGATGTAGAATATGATGACACACTGAAGACTTCAAATCAAAGTGATTGTGGTGAATTACTTCTCACTATCAATGTAGAACTTCAGGAAGGTGAGACACAAACTATCAATGTACACGTGAATGATGATCCTGCAGATTTGGCGCGAGAATTTTGTGAAAAATGGGAGGTTACTAATGAAGTCGTGGAACCTGCGCTTGTGGCTCTAATTAAAGAAGAGAAAGAGAAGCGATTAAGTATATTGCTTGATAAAGATTAATATTTGTAAAAAGAGGTTTCCCCTACATTTTTTTCATTATATTATAGAATGTCATATCATTACTTTAACGAACTGTAACGTATATTTTGTTTGCATGATTTATTTTTCTTGTTTATATATATACAAATAAATAATAGACTTATTTGCTACTTATAAAAATGTATGTCTAGAAGATATAATTTTTTTACGTACACAATAAAAAAAAAAAAGTTTGAATGCAAAAAAACATTATACATATATAGAAATAAAATAAAATAGAATCATAGTTAGAAAGCAATTACGTTATTTGTTATTCTTTTTTTTTTTTTTTTAACAAAATACGCGACATTAATTATCTGTACATTTTTCTTGTACAAAAACTAAATAAAGTAAAATTCGTAACGTCGGGTAAATTAGCCGCGGCTTAGACTTCGGAAAAACAAAGCAATTTCTCAATATTTCCTGAAATGGAAACATCAAAAAGATATAATTGTCAACTATTTTTTTTTTATCTTTCCCATCCATTTTTTTTTCTATTTTCAATATACTCGCAATTGTCTACATTATTTCCATTGTGATTTTTTTTTTTTTTATTTTCCAATAAAAACTTCGCAATGTTAAACAATAGAGTGCCCCACTCATGGACAAGTGAAGTTGACGTTGAAGAGTTCTCTACTAACTCTGCTTTAATGCTACCAGGAACTGTTATAAAAATGATAGGTCAATTTTTAGGAACACACGACCGCAATAATTTTTGCCTTGTTAACAAAACTTGGCTACCCGCTGCTACCGAAATCTTATGGTCGGAGCCTATTTTCAAAACTCCCGAATCCTTCCATTCCTTCGTACGTGCAATAAAAAATTCAAAACATTGCGCCGATCGAGTTCGTGAATTAGACCTATGTGCTCCTGAGGAATCTGACGACGTATTTGCACCCGTCCTAAAGTCTCTTTGCAAAGAGCATCAAATGATGAAGACTTATGTGTTATCTAAGCCTCATTTAATCACGTGGTTAATTAGATCTTGCGAGAATCTACAAAGCGTCCGATTCTATGGATGGAATTTACACGACAAACATATACACTCTTTCCATCAATATTGTAAAAAGCTAAAGGAATTTCGAGTCGTCGGTAACGAAAATTTAACCCAAGCTGCGATTTATTCTATAATCAATTCAGCATCCGAACTTCGTGTGCTGGATTTAGATGGAAAGTTTGATTTACCCGATAGCTTTGCTGAAACATTAGCCAGAAAAAGCCAATTTATTACTTCACTCAAGCTCCATACCGAAACTATGACTGCAAGTGGTTTCGATATTCTGGCTGGCAAATTAACTCGATTGAAGGAGTTAACATTGCAATTCTGTCCTGGTGTTACCGATACAAACGTTGCGCGCTTCGTAAAAAACAATCCCCAATTACAAATACTTTTATTATCTGGAGAAAATTTAACAATACAGTCCTTAAGATACATTCTTCATAATTCGCAGAAATTGCGCAACTTGGATTTGAGGTGTCCATCTTGGTTCCGCGAGCCACCTCGTATTTCGAAATCCCCTACGCCACCTGAGCAAGAGTTATGTGTCATCACCCTAGAAAATATAGCGGTGGATGACGATACAATCAATAAAATATCATTAAATTGCCCGAAATTAGAGATATTTGGCCTTTTCCGATGTTCACTTGTCACCGATCAATCGATCAACTTCATCTCGCACAATTCCCGAAACTTACGAATTGTAAATGCGTTCGAATGTCCAAACATTACCTCCAGATGTCTAAAATATCTTGCCAACACGTCAATAACACAATTCATTGTGGAATCCTGTGGAACGTTTGCCCCTGAAGGAGTGCAATGGTTTGCACGTACTGCTACAAAACTTGAGAAACTCACGTTCCACGGTACTCCTTCAATAATAAATTCTTTTGTTTTTCAATTTTCTAACGAATGGAAACCTGGAAACCAACACGGCTCAGTAAGATGCACGATTGAAGGAGAAAATCTCAAAAAACTTGTTCAATACCGTAATGGCCAAAATCCTGTACATAATGAAGATATTAGCAATACTGAAAATTTGGAAAATATTTCCAAATCTAAATTACATGAATTAGCTACGGAGTTGGTCATTTCGGTAGATATTTTAGAGCGTGCAATCAAGAAGGTTTTCAACAAAGATTCTTCTGACCCAAAGAATAATTGTACCTTATCCTCCATTAAGCGAGAGGCTCATCGAGAACCATCATCAACTTCGATTATCCAAAAGACTCATTGCGGTTGGTCATCAATTAATGTGAAACTTCCCATTTTACATATAAAGTCATCGTTTGAATCAGATGAGCAAATTTCGGTTCAAAATAATAAACAAGTTGTAGATCATCCTCGAGCAGTACAACCGATCGCAACAGTTTCCGTCATAACACCAACTCTAGAACAAAATGAAAAATTATCATCGTCAGAATCTGATCATTCTGGTGATGATTACACTGAATGGAAAATTTCCAGTCAAAATATTGATTCCGGCGATTTAGGTGGATGGGAAGAAATGGAATCAAAAGGAAATAAATATAATGAAGAAAATGAAGATCAATATCGCAAAGATTACTGGGTTGATGAACATTGTGAGACTTCTTCAATGGCATCAAAAGATTTAAATGATCAAGAAACTATTTTAAAAGATGATGATTATAGTAGCGAAGAGACAAAAGAACAAAATTCTGGTAGATATTACTGGAATGATGATTATTGGGAATCCTCTTCGATTACATCCAGAGATGAGGGTAATAATACGAACCAACAAATTCCTAAATATTTCCGAGCGGATGATCACTGGGAATCCTCCTCTTCAATATCAGCGAATTATTATAATAAGGATGAAAAAAATGGAGAATATGACCTGGATCGTGAATCTTCATCAACAATATCAAGAGACGAAAGAGGCGAGGATTATCAAAGTCACCAAACTCGCAAAAGTCAATGGATCGATGATCATTGGGAATCTTCCTCATCTAATGATGATAATCAAATTTACAAGGTTAATGAATCCTCCAAACAAGAACAACAATTTCAACAAACCCGTAAATTTTATTGGGTTGACGGTCATTGGGAGACTTCGTCTATGGAGTCATCCGAACATTATGAAGAGATGCCAGAAGGAAAAATTTATGAGATTACTGACGAAGAACAAGATGTAATAAATTATGAAAGAAAGCTTATAAAAAATGTACCAGAAAATAATGGTCAGATCGAAAGTCCGGAAGTTATCGATGATACCGAACCAAAGGAAGACCTTGGTGCATGGGGTAAAATGAATGTAAATAACGATTCTGCATGGGGAGATAACAAAAATTGGTTACCAGATACAATAGAGGTCAAAACAAAAGAGCCGGAAAACTCTACACCCACCACTCCCACTACCCCCACGTGGGAATCAAATGATACAAACGAATATTGGAGTCCTACCCAAATACAGGACGCAAAATCCCCTATTTACTTTCAAAATAAATCAATACCTGTGGTTACTAATGAAATGGATGATACAGAAGGGTGGGGTTCACCTCCTCCAAATCCAATCCCTTGGAGTGATGAACGTCAAGGATATTGTGTTGAATTGATAGAAGAACAAAAGGAAACGACCTTTTGGTCTGTACAGAATGGTAATTGGGTAAACGTTAGTGAAGAGACGAGAATTTCAGAGAAAAAAACAATTGAGATGAATAGTAATGGTCACAATAATTTCCGACAAACCACCATACAACATACAGGAAAATGGGATGAAATTATTAAAGAACAAAGAAATAACCGTGACTTCAAAAACTCTAAAAATGGAAATATTTCTATCGATTTAACAGATTCACCAGAAGAAAATAATTCTGATAATAACAATTCAAATGCTGAATTCATGAATGTGGATGGTCCTAGAGGACGTATAGGTAGTCCAAAATGGGTATCAGAAAATGAATGGCGTAAAGAAGGAAAAGATCTTATTAATTTTGATATACCGGAAATATCAGATTCAAAGAGTTCATCGGATGATTCAGAGGAACCTTCATCAACACCGACCAATAAAGAAGGAAATTCCAGAATCTATGACAAAACAGTCAATAACTTAGATTGGGATAATTTTCCACATGAGATCAACATTGATCTCACAGAACAAAAAGAGAAACCATTTCAAAATACCGAAGATTTATTAATAGACTTTGATTCTGATCCTGTTACAAATTATATAAATAATTCAGATTCCGTTCCTTCATTTAGCAAAGAAATAGCTGAACTAAATGATGTTTTTTCTCAATTGCCGATGAGTTCTACAACCCCAAATTTACTTTCATTTGATGAAAATGTAACAGATAATCAATTAAATGTTGTTGTACCTGAATATCCTATTAGTATGGAATTAGTATCTAAAGACAACAAGCAGTCATCCGGTGGAAACAAAATTAAAAAGAACTTAAATTTCACTATCGAGACAATTGAGTTCGGACGTCAAAAAATTGTAGTGAGACCTGTAAGATAAAATTAAAATTAAAAAATGTTTTCGTATTTTTTATTAATTAATATTTTATTAATTAAATATTTTAATTTATAAGGATGATGACCTCGACGTTATCTCAAAAAACTTTTGCCAAAAATGGAAAATGGAAGGACATATTGACTCCTTCAAAAATCTTATGAGGGTAGAAATCGAAAAACGACGATTAAAAAAGAAGAGGAATCGCAATGTTCAATCATCAGAATAATAAAAAAAAACAATAACAAGCAAACAAACAAACATTATAAAGTTATAAATAAAATAAATAATATACGTGTTAGGGTTTAATTTGGTCGGACGCAAATTTTTTTTAAAAATTAAAATGTCATTAATTCATTAATTTTATTATCGTAATTTTGTTGCATACATTAATAAATGGAAATAGAGAAGACTTTTGATTTTCTTTTTTTATTTATTAATTAATAAGTTATATATATATGTACATAATAACCTATAAAAAAATTTATATAAATCAGGATTCTATTTTTCATTTTATTATTATAATTCACATTATTCACATTATTTACATTATTTCGTTAATTTTCCAATCACTTTTCATCATGTTCAATCAGCATTCCATAATTGTGAAAATAATTGTAAATTCAAAATGTTGAATAAAGTTAATTTGATAGTTCTATATTTAATTGAATTGATAAGTTAATTTGATAAGTTAATAGCTAATTTGATAAAGTCAATGATAAAGTCAATGATAAAGTCAATTGATGATAAAACATAAAAATATTCTTTTGATAAAAATAATATGTAATAAATAATAATAATAAATTTGAGCAATTTGAGCTTTAACTAAAAAATACATTAGTATCACGCCATGCGTTCTGGAAATAATAAAAACTACCATTCAGTGTACAAATAAATTTGGTTAAAATAATTTTACCATAAAAGAGAAATAATCGAACATATCCATTCATGTAAAGTATTCACGTTCTAATTTTCAATACAAAAAATACTTATGTAATAACATACATACAACATACTGACATCTGTACAACTTTCCATTTATTCAAGTTGCTTTTTTATTATTAAAAATTTGTAATATGACGTAACGAAACACGGAATTTCAACGGCAATCTTTCCTTTATTAGATTTCCTTATTCCGAGATTCTTTTTATTTGGTTTAGTTCATTGATTTGGCTAGTAGAATTTTCAGCATGAATTAACTTTTTTTTTTGGTTTACACTAACTTACACAAAAAAAAAAAAGATCCGATCTTGTAATTTTCCTTACATGATATTTATTGGTTCATGATAATCAAAACTCCTGACAATATTAGTAAATAAATATTGTAAATATTGTAAATATTGTTTGTTTTAAAACTATACTATCCAAATTAAACCTTTTTTGTATGGTCAAAATCAAAATAGTTTTTTAATTGCATAAAAAAAAAAATTAAAAACCTTAATTCGAAAAAAAAAAGAAATTCTGAAAAACATTGTTTGTGGTAAAAAACAAAATCAAATGACTTTAAATTGAATATTTATACTATTTATACCAAATTAAGATATAAATTCTCTTCAATTCTCTTTATTAATTTATTAATTCGAAAAAAAAAAAAAAAAAAAATGGCAGAAAATAAAGGAGCAGCTCAATTAAATTTACATTACTTTCCTAACAACAACAACGACAACGACAACAATAATAATCCTGACTCTCAAACTACACCAGAAAATTTACATGCAACAAATGAAAATAAAAATAAATCTTTTAAATCAAAATTATCATTTTTATTTACCAAAGAATTTTTAAAAATATTTTTACTTGGTCAATTTCTTTCATTATGTATTACAATCTCCATTGTAACAAGTACTGAATTATTTAATCGTGGTGCTAGTTATCCTACCACCCAATCTGCATTGACATATATTTCATTATTCTTAGTTTATACACCAATAACTTTATACAAAATTGGATTTAAGGGATATGTGAACATGCTTAAAACGAGAGCATGGAAATGTATGTTAATTATTATAATAATTAAAAGTATGCACGTAAAGTAAACATGTGATTATAAGCAATCATCATTAATATTTATACATTTATATATATAGATATATTATTATCAATTGTTGATGTTGAAGGAAATTATTTTATAGTAAAAGCTTTTAGCTACACATCAACACTCTCCATCCTGTTACTTGACGCATGGACAATTTTTATAGTAGTTATATTAGGAATATTCTTCTTGAAAACAGGATTTCATTGGAGTCAATATTTAGGAGTTGCTGTTTGTTTAGCAAGTATTGGAGTAATAATTGCCGGTGATTTTGATGCGGGTACTGATATGTTTACAGGTAAATAAAGAATAATAAAATAATAATATTCATTAATAATAAGAATAATAAGAATAAGAATAATAATAATTAATATTAATATATATTATTGTACCCGCTGTAGCTAATAAACGAGTCCTAGGAGATATTTTCTGTTTGATTAGTGCTACATTATATGGAATATCAAATACTGTAGAAGAATATTGTGTTAGAAAGAGACCATTTTATGAAGTAGTTGGTCAAATGGGATTTTGGGGTATAATTATTAGTATAATTCAAATGTAAGTTCTTTTATTAATTATATTATTTTAATTATACGCAATATTAGTCAATATAATGTAATATTATGCAATTTTCTAATTTTACAGAAGCATATTAGAACGTAAAGAATTAGAAACCGCACATTGGGATGGACCGATTGGTAAAAAAAATAATAATAATTTATAACATTTATTATTTTAATTATTAATTTTATTAATTATTTTTAAATTATTTTATTATAGTTGGTCTCGTTCTTACATTCACATTCGTTATGTTCTGTCTATACACTGCTGCTCCAATCTTGTTTCAACGTGCATCTGCAATATACTTTAATATTTCATTACTTACAAGTGATTTCTATACCTTAATATTAACAATGATTTTCTTTAAGTTTGGGGTAAATTTTCTATACTATATCTTTTTATCTATTTATTTATCTATCTATCTATCTATCTATAATTATTTATAAATTTATAATTTTCTATAACTTTCTTTAGATGAAACGATTATATCCATTAGGATTTGTGCTTAATGTAATTGGTCTTGCAGCATATTATATATATCCTGCTACACAACCAAATATAACACAAGAAGGAGATGAATTTGACAAACGAAAGAAGACGAATGTCAATAATGAAAATATTGAAAAAGATGTTGAACTAAGTTTAGAAAATATTGAATAATATTCTTGTATCTATTCTTCTATTCATTCTATTATCCATTCTTATCTTTCTATTCTTAAGAGTTAGTATTTTTTTATTTTTTTTTACAAAGAGAAAATTATAATTTATTATTATATATTTTATATTTATATATTTGTATTTTATATTATGTATTTGTTTTTAATATGTATTATTCTATTTTGTATCATATTTTTATCCGAGAAATTTAACAAATGATGTACTGTACATTTATTATTTTAAATTTTACAAATAAAGTTAAAAAAGTTATGACTATAATAATAAATATTTATTATCATAAATAATCTATTCATTTGTACTAAAACTGACTGCACTTTTTACAATTATATAAAATTTACATTATTATAACCATTTATATCATCACCATTCTTGTGGGAAGTTAACTAATGATTAGAATTTCTATTTTATAATTGAAGAATTTATTATTGCTAAACATCAACTAAATAAAAATATAATAACAAAAGAACAAATGTATGTTAATTGATTATTTAATATCATTGTGCTTATATTATCTGAAACTAGAAATTAATAAAAATTACTAAATTTCAAATGCTAATTGTAACACAATGGATAATCTAAATTACACAAATTTTTTTTATTAGATTCCTTAAACTAAAGTTATTATATGATATATTTGTATCAAAATTGAAAACTTACATGTGGAGTAATTACACTTTAATAAAACTGATGAAAATAAAAAATTTAATCTTTAAAAGTTACCCATACTGAACTTAATGGATATTAAAGGCAGATGCCAACTATCTTACAAGAAATTATAGTCAAAAATAATATCTACTTTTTGTAATATCTAAAAATACAGACTTTACTTAGGTATAAATAAAAATGAACAAAATTTATTAAAAATTTTAAAAAAATAAAAAAAAATCTGAAAATATTTATCAATTATTTTTACATATAAAAGTTTTTTATTTATTAAAATAGTAATAAAATAATACTAAGTATTATTAAAGCTAAAAATATATATATCTTATGTAAAATATTCAGATATATTTAATTAAAATTAAATGAATAATTAGTAAGAATAATTTTTGAACATCTAGCATATAGCCATTGATATTAAATTTAATTTGTAAATAAAAATTCTAAAAACTTTACAAATGATACTCTATATTCATAACTATAAAATTAATTAATAATATTATCAGAAATTATATAGAGGTATTCTAATATTCTATAAATATAAAACATTCAAAAACATACTAGAACATTACATTTTAGTATGCTATAAGTATGAAACATTCAAATAATATACTAGAATGTTGTGTTCTAGTACACTATAAATACTAAATGTTCAAATAATGCATTATATCAGGAATTAAATAAAAACATTCTACAACACTATACAAATGTCATTTTATAATATTCTACCAATGATATTAACATTCATATAGTATATTAAATACAATGTTTTAAAGTGTTCTACAAATATTTCATTTATATAATGTACTAGAACATACTGTTTTAAAACATTTTACAAATATTTCATTCATATAATATATTAAAATTGACATTTTTAATATATTATTTGAACATTTTATTCATATAGTATACTAAAATGTCTCTATATAATTCTGGATATACTTGCATGCAAAACTATTTTGGAGTCCTGAAATTACAATTTTGAAAAAAAAAGTCAAAATAGTTTTTCATAAAAGATGAAATTATTTTACTTAAAATTTAAAATTTTTTAACTATCCAGATTTATTCTTTGATTGAATATACACATAACTGGATACTTTTTTTACTTTCATATATAGAATAGATTCTGCATAAATTTCAAAAAGTTGAAATACCTCAAAAATTCAAAATTAATTTTGGAAATATGTATAATTTTGAATATAGAATATCAGAAAATTTTTACTTGCAAATATATCTAGATTATATTTGTATACAAAATTATTTTGAAATTCTGAAATTATAATTTCAGAAAAAAAAATCAAAATAGTTTTTTATAAAAGACAAAATTATTTTACTTAAAATTTGAAATTTTTTGATTACCTGATTTATTCTTTGATTGAATATATATATAACTAGATATTTTTTTTACTTTCATATATAGAATAGATTTTACATAAATTTCAAAAGTTGAAATATCTCAAAAATCCAAAATCAATTTTGGAAACATGTATAATTCAGATATAATTGCAATTAATAAAAACTAAACATATCCACATATGTTTACAAATATATACAAATATATATATATATTTAATGTAATATATAAATTAATGTAAATAAATACAAATTAATGTAAATTGATATAATTTATGTAAATAAATATATAAGTATTAAAACATATTAAGATATATTCGTCTCTAAAAATTTCTTAATAAATATTGTATTCTAGTATGCTATAAGTATGAAATGTTCAAATAATATATTAGAATATTGTGTTCTGATATATTAATGCTATTTAAATAATACTATAAAATAATATTTATATAGTGTTGTAGAATGTTTTTATTTAATTTCTAATAATATTTGTTGTTTTATTAATAAACAACATTAGGAAATTTTTTCTAGTAAAAATCTTCAAAAGTTAATGTTAATGTAGGTATTTTGTTATTTTTCAATATGTTATCTTTCAAAGGTCTTTGCTAACTTTCAAAAGTTATCGATTTTGATATTTTCATGTGACGAAATTTTATGAATATTATTGTTTTTTAATAAGTTCATATCAATAATCTTTGAAAATTATCAATTTTGATATTTTCATGTGAAATTTTATGAATATTATTGTTTTCATAATAAATTCGTATTGATAACTTTCGAAAGTTATCGATTTTGATATCTTCATGTGTGAAATTTTGTAAATATTATCATTTTCATAGTAATTTCATATCAATAACCTTTGTTTATCATTAGAAAATTTTTGGGAGCAAATATATCTGAATATATTTGAACTGAATATATCTGGATATATTTGACCACCCATGCATTTATCCATATTAATTATTCAAATTTATTCAGATAAATATATAAATATATTCGTATATATTCATTTATTCAAATTTATCTGAATATATTTTTCGAATATATTTGTATATATTTGTATATTTGAATTTATCTGAATATATTTTTTGAATATATTCACATATATATTCGTGTATTCGAATTTATCCAGATACATTTTTCAAATATATTCACATATATCTGTGTGATTCAAATTTATTCAAATATATTTTTCAATTATATTCGCATATATCTATTTGAATTTATCCAGATATATTTTTATATATTTTTTGAATATATTTAAATTTATGTATACAACTTTAGATAATATATATTATATAAATATAATTTCATATATATGTATAT